TTTTTTTTTCGCTTAACGAAATAAGCGTATTTTTTGGAGTATTTCTGTGCAAAAATTTTTTAATTTGCTCAAATCTTTAATTTTCTGTGCCCAGTCAAAATACGGAAAATCGGCCGCCATCTTGCCCCACGACCGAGTTTAAAGAGGAATGGCTCTAGCGGGTAATGTGACGTCAAATCGAGAACACGAAAGTCTGCATTTCACACATTTTCACTTGTTTGGGAAGGTTGTCGTCGATATTGTCCGAAATATGCCGACTAGGTGTGTTGTATGAGGAATGTATGAAGCGCGATACCCTCTTGCAAATTTCGCACGTTGCTACATCCTTCTACAACACACTTAGTCGGCATATTTTCGGACAATATCGACTACAACCTTCCCAAACAAGTGAAAATATGTGAAATGCAGACTTTCGTGTTCTCGATTTGACGTCATATTACCCGCTAGAGCCATTCCTCTTTAAACTCGGTCATGAGGCAAGATGGCGGCCGATTTTCCGTATTTTGACTGGGCACAGAAAATTGAAGTTTTGAGCAAATAAAAAAATTTTTGCACAGAAATACTCCAAAAAATACGCTTATTTCGTTAAGCGAAAAAACTTTTTTGGGTTTAGGTGCACTTTAAGGAATAATGGTCTTTTTTTAGGAGCTCTTATAGCAGCATGTACCCCTGAAACTGAAAGGGTTAACTTACCTATTTGAGAAGCCACACAGTGATGTTGGGTACAGTTGAATTCATTTGTTACTCAATGTCGTCTCGAAAGTAATGGTAAATTGCTAATTAAAGGTCGTCACGCACAATTCTGATAAAATTACTCCACGACTCGTACTCCACGCGCTCAAGTTCCCATTTTGAACTGATTTTCTTGCAGCCGGATGGAACAGATCTGTTTCATTTTGTCCATGGACATCAAACATGGACAGAATACTTAACACACATGGAACAAGTTGGCGCTTGGGGTGATCACGTGATTCTGTGTGCCGCAGCAAACTACTATGAAACGTGTATTTGTTTGGTCAGCAGTCTGCCCCATAGAAATGATGTAATCATTACGCCACATTGTCCAGTTGGCGAAAGCAAAGCGCTTGTACTGGGACATATTCAGGAGGTGCACTATGTCAGCCTTCAACCCGCTCAAGGTACAGCTCATGACATCACAGTTAGTAATTGTAGTCTTATTTTCATAACTGTGTATTTCGTTTAATGTGTTACTTGCGGTCATAAATCTTCTCAACTCTGAGACGACATTTAAGTCAGGCTTTAACTTCAAGGCTTTTTCTCCATTTTCCCATTCATTGTCTTTCTTTGCTCGTTTAACATACGTGATGACGTGGGTCTCTCCTGTACTAATTGACGCTTAATCGCCCGCCTCAATTAGTAGAATCAAACGGCATTTAATGCAGTGTACTCTCCTTTGCTTTGTAATCGCACGGTTGTATTTGTTGTTTTTACAGGTTAAAAGACAGGCTATCTACACAGTCATTATGCTCGGTTCAGATCTCTGTAGAAAAAAGAAAAACCAGCCAAATGAAGGTGTGGCTAAGAGTTTACCGTGGACCTACAAGAGAAAYAAAGTCTTTCAGAATTGAAAGTTTTTCTTTCGATACAATGACTAGATGTCACGGTGTGCATAATTCTCTAAAAACTGAAGGGCATCAAGATAAGATAATTTACCGCAAATGATTTCGTTGCGTTACTGAAAGCACAACAGGAAATTTTAATTAAGGTGCGGTTTAGAGTGGAGAAGGACAGTGCATTTTACTCGAAATATTTTTGTTATCCAAGAAGAGCGATGAAGCATTTGTAAATAAAAATCAATCTCTTAAAGTCGAGGTTTGAAATATTTTGTCTGTATAGTAGATATATTTGCCAAATACATGTAGTACTTGTATACGCTTCTTGTAAACGCTGCTAAAGTGTTTAATGCTTATAAATTATGGAAATACAGAAATATTGAAACAAATCTGCTCTTTATGACACGATTTAGGGATGGTGGCATTTCTTTTTTCCCAATACTCGTCAGTGTTGTTTCGTTATGACTTGTTGATCGTTTTCACTGTTACGCATCGAGAGAAATTAAAGCTATCCAGTGGATAAGGTTAAGAAATTGCAATGTTATAAGAGGTAGGTTATTATGGGTTAAGGAAACACTTCTCCAAGTTTTAGGTCTCTTTGTTTTGCCAAACCTAAGATATTCCTCGAAATGTTTTGCGCATATTTACAGAGCCCAGTATGGGGCAGCTAATTGTTGGTGGCTATCTTTGGTCCACTAACATGGCGGCCGGGAAATAGTGTAAGCCCACTGATTGTCTAAACTAAACCAAAAAACCCCCCATCCACTTAAATCTTTTATTTTATCAAGGTTTGGTTTCTTCCTTTATCTCCCTGCTTCTTTTTTCGGTTTTTTAAATCTACAACGTCGTATTATTGGCCGGCAAATGTGAGGAAATTTCCATCACCAGATCATGAAATTCATAAACAATTTACTGAAGAACTTTTATTATTAATAGCTTTGCTTTAAGTTTCCAGTATCAACTACAATGTAGCAACAGCTTTGAATTGAAGTTTCCTTGATAGTATGACGTATTAACCTTTTGTTTGAGTATCTAACAAAAATGCTTTTTATACTAATGAATGTAATGTCCCACCACAGATCGACATTGCTGCCATTTCATGAAACCTTTTGACACATCCGTCATTTCAAGAGTTTATAAGAACATTTTTCTTTTCCAAATGTTACTAGCCCACTCTAAACTTCAAGAGCCCGTGATATTTTCGAAATTGGTTGTTTAGTGGCTAGTTTAATCCAGAATTCAACGGAAAGGCCATAGATCAAACAGGCACATTTTTTTGCTGATGGCAACGATACCTTTGTTTATCACAAGTACATCTAAGAAATACATAGCGTGTTTTTTTTTTTCTCTTCTTTTCTTTTTTTTGTAATCTAGAACAGACTGTCAAGGCGTATGACATAAATTCTCATTACAGAAACAAAGGAAATGTAATTCTGTAATTCAAATACTAAAGCAATATGTATAACTCATACATTAAAAAGGACCATTTCACAAAACTAGCAATACCTTTTAACAACTGTCGTTAAATGAAATACTTGTAAATACTTCGTACTAATTCTGTGATATAATTTACAATATTACACATAAAATTACGACGTTGCCGTGGCAGCTCATTTGGTTTTTCAGTTATTGTACCAATTTGCAAATGACTATTTGCAAATGACTTTTTTCATTTGTTGTACCAATTTGCAGATGACCGAGCCCTTTGGCGAGCTAGGGAAATGATTTCCCTCACCAAAGGGGCTCGGGAGAGATCTCAACTTCGACAAATCGTGCCTGCCATTATCCGGCTCCCCATCTTAGTCTTTATCATTTGACAACACATGCTCGATATTAAGATTATAGTGACGTTCGAAAAGTCGTACTGATTCTAGACTGTTAAAGTGTAACAGGCGTCTTTACTGCTTGACCTCAAATCTTCAGTGATCTCATTGAACATCGGTAAAGGAGTGAAGATTAGTATCAAAGGATTGATATGAACGAACAGGCAATAGTCATTTGACTTTTGAACTACACAAAAGATCCTTTTTTTTTCCCCCAAGGATCAGGGCGCTATAATGGAGTATGTATTGTACAACAAAAAACATAGAAATCACAATGGCCAACCAGAAACGAGGAAAATTTACTTTTAAGACAACGAAAGCAAGTAAATAAAGCCAAACTACCTATAGTTTGTATCTAATTGGTTGAGTGGTGCGAGTTTTCTGGACCAATCACAGAGTGGAGCAATGCCAAACTCATGCCATCCAGGAATACTTTCCTTACTTAACGGACAGTTGCTCTAAACATCATTCGGCATACGGTCTAAGCTTGATAAAGAAAAAAAAACCGGGTTTCACTCGTTTAAATTTTTAATTTCTTACATCAGACCGAGTTTGATCGGAATCCATTACTAAAAATGTAACCTGTGATACGGTTTGTACAAAAAAAAATTAAAAAACATAATTTTTCCTACTTTTGATCAGAAACAAATTAGAACTTTTTTGGCTGAGTAGAGCTGAGAGTGACATTTGTATTTGAGGAGATATTAAGTAATTGAATAGTCTTCATGTAATCATCATTATCAAGTCGTA